CCTCCCATGGCTGCCCAGCGCCCTTGCACTGCATTCCAGGCTCCCACCATGCCGACATGCCCTCCCTGCACATCTATCCCAGCCCAGCTGGCCAACCTCTTCTCTGAGAGCAGCTGCTCTCTACCTCATCAGCCTTCCAAGTCCCTGAACTTTCCAAACCCATCACTACTTAGGGCTGTGCCCTCTGCCCAGACTATTCTCTGCTCAGCAGGCCCTCAGGTCTTCCCAGATGATCTTCTGTCTTAGCTCAAATATGCACCTCCCTGACCCTTGGTCCAAAGAAGCCCCACCTCTCAGCACTCTCAGGGACATCATCACCTTGATCTGGGTTTTTATTAAGTGTCTCTTACCCTCCCCCTGTCTTACACACACACACACACACACACACACACAAGACCAAATGCTCCATACGGCCTTGTCACACACACACACACACACACACACACACGACCAAATGCTCCATACGGCCTTGGTCATAGCTGTATTCCCAGCTCCTTGCACATTAGTTGATGCCTACAGCTGCCCAATAAATATTTGTTGCCCTAACCAGTTTGGCTCAGTGGATAGAGCGTCGGCCTGTGGACGGAAAGGTCCCAGGTTCGATTCCGGCCAAGGGCATGTACCTTGGTTGCAGGCACATCCCCAGTTGGGGGTGTGCAGGAGGCAGCTGATTGATGTTTCTCTCTCATCGATGTTTCTAACTCTCTATCCTTCTCCCTTCCTCTCTGTGAAAAATCAATAAAATATATATTTTAAAAAATATGTATTTGTTGACTGAATAGATCAGTGGTTCTCAACCTTGGCTGCACATTAGAATCACCTGGGAATCTTTTTAAAATCCTGATTTCTGGGCCTCATCCTCCGGAAATTCTGTTTCTTTGTTACTAATGTTGTGGCCCCACCCCATAACAAAGAAACAGAATTTCCAGAGGATGAGGCCCAGAAATCAGGATTTGAAAAAGATTCCCTGGTGATTCTAATGTGCAGCCAAGGTTGAGAACCACTGGAATAGATGGTTAAGGCCATTGGAAGTTATAGGTTGACTTGGAATTTTAGCCTAATTTGGTTGGTAGAGACTTCTGCCATAAGTCTTTGCCATAAGTCTCTGCCATAAGATTTGGGAAATCAGTTGTAAAAGTGCAATTGTGGGAAGGTTTGTCCTGCTTCCAGTCTGTAGAAAAGTATTTTTAATATCCACACGCTGAAACTGCAGAGGTTCTGCCACAATTTAAAACCTGGAGTGTCAGAGTCTGGATCTACTGTGGGTCTGAGAGTCTCCGTGTGTATAAAACAAAGCAAATGGATTGGAGCTTGATCCACAGATGTGTTTTCTTTGGCCAACAACATGTTTTGAAGTAAATTTAAATGAGTTGCCAAGGTTGCAGAATTGGAAGATTTCACATAGTAGATTTCAACATTGTTTGGTGAGCTCTTTGGATCTGATACCACTGGGCCCGAGATCCTGCATGGTAGCACCCAGTAGGTCTGAGCAGGGACAGTGCGGTCAGTTCCACTGGGCTCACCTCCTCTGTGTTCTCTGGATGGTCCAACACAGGCAATCCATTTGAGCTGTGGGACCCTGGTGTGCTCAGCGTGCCCGTCACCTTGTCCTGCACAGAGGCCCGAAATCACATTTCCTTCCTGGAGGAAGAGGGTGGGATGGCTTCCAAGGCCTTGAGCACCAACTGCCCTCACCCTGCCCTTAGTTCTGTGAACAGGGTTGGCATCGTGGGATGGCTTCCAAGGCCTTGAGCACCAACTGCCCTTAGTTCTGTGAACAGGGTTGGCATCCGGCCTTCTCTCCAGAGAGAAATGCAACCTGGGCTGAGGGGCCTGGGGCTGCCATGTGAGATGACAGTGCGCAGGCCCCTGGGGCCCAAGTGCTGAAGCCCAGTGCCTGCCTGGAGCTCAGGCCTGGGCCCTCATTGGGGGCCTCTTCGTCCCCTCCTTCCTGAGCCCACAGAGGAGGCTCCTGGGAAAGGGTGACTCATTCTCAGGATTTTCTAGCTGAGACCCTGTGCTGGGAGAGCGTCTCATGAGCCTCAGGCTGGACCAGAAATAACCATGATAATTGGGTCTGATCTTGAACCTCCTGTGTGGTGGGGGTTCTGCCCTGGTACATAGCACAGCCCTTCTGACCACTTGAAATGTTTCAAGATACTTGTTTCCTTTTCCCTGTGGATTTTTATTTATTGCATACTGCATTGTTGTGGTAAAGAACAAAATAAAAAGGGGAAATTACCTCTCTGTCAGCCCTGTAATACACTTCTGTATTCTTCTCCAGTCTTTTCCATATGTATACATAATTGTAATTATAGTAAAATTAAAATTCACTCAGGATTCTCGGAACCCGGAACAGAGGGTGGCATGCAGTAGGATTAATAATTATTTGTTGACCGTAAAATATTTTGTTTACTTTAAAGTGAACATTCACTGATGTTCTAATTGTTTTCTAATTGTATATCTACTAATTACCATTACATCAAATTGTTAGATTTATTTGCCATTTTACTATATTTAGATTTTACCCTCAATTTATCAGGATTAGAAATATTGTTGCAGTGAGCATTTTTCTTCACATAACTATTTTTGAGTGTTTTGAATTATTTGCTTAGGATAAATTCTGAGCATTTAAATTTCTGGATCAGAGGAGAGAAAAATGAGAATTATAGAAATTGCTTTTTAAAGTATCCCTATTACCAGGGTTGTTAGAAAATTTAGTTTTATCATAACCTCATCAGCATTTGGGTTATAAATTTTTGCTAATTTTATAATATCAGATGGTACCTACTTGTTTTAATATGGGTTGAAGAATTGTCTAAGCATTTAATAATGGCATTTCCTTTTGTGTGTCTTACCTGTTTGAGTAGTTTGCATATCTATTGGAATATAGATTTTTTTAGTATCTATCAGAATAGAGATTTTTTAGTTGGATTTGAGTTAATTTATAATATTAATTGATCGACTCAGTTTTCCTATCATAGCGACTGCAAACATTTTTCTAGTGTGTGATTTTCCATCTTAATAGTAGGTGTGTAATAGGTGTGGCTTTCTGTTGTACAGAGATTCTGAGAACACGACTGCCAGCAGGACCTTAGAGAGCTAACCTGGCCTCCATGTCTCAGATGGGGAGACCCAGCCCAGAGAGCAGAGGCCTCGGCTCAGTGACACGGCTGGGGAGAGGGGAGCCCAGGTTGCCCGAATCGCCAGCCCTCTGATCTGAGCTCCTAAGCGTCCCTGTTGCTCTTCTTGCCCCAAAAGTTCTTTTGCACTGGGGTTAATGGGTCTCTTTTTTGGACCAAGGCAAACTTTGTAGGACTCTACTGAGGGCGTGCTGTTGCCGTTCTGATGACAAGGAGCCAGCCATTCCATCTTTCTGACTCAGGGCATTTAAAAATACCCTGGGCTGGGGTATTTGGAGAAACCCATAATTGATAAGCTCTTAGCAGGCAGTAAATACAGTTTTGTTGCCCTCAGAAGATGCATTAGTTCACCAAGATCAGTAGCCTCTGTCTGCCAGGTGTTGTTCCAGACATTTGGGTCGGTAAAAGGGAGGAGAGGGATGTGGCCCTGGCTCCGGATGTGCTCTTGCCTGGAGGGGCTTTGGCAACCAGAGGACTTCTTCCCGCTTCATCACTGGGAAGGGAGGGCCCCAGAACTGTCAGGTGACTCCCAAACTGGCTGTCAGGAGACCTGGTTTACAAACAGAGATTCTGTCCCCAGCTCTGCTATTACATAGTCTGTGTCGCCAACACTCTGGACCCTTAGAGCATGTCCATGGTCAGGTTGTTTCATCAGCAGCAAACATACATGAATACTTATTTAGTCAAGACTGTGCTGGGCACTCAGGTTGCTACAACAGTGGCTAAGGCCTGCTCCACCCTCCTGGGGTTATACTTTAGTGGAATAAACAAAAAGGCTAATACCTTCCTGCCAAACAGACAGAATTATAAATGAGTGTAAGTAAAATGCCAGGGCTCAACAGGGTTAAATAGGGAAGCTTATCAGAAGAGCTGAGCTAAGCCAAGCCTCCAGGGATGGATAGAATTCTGGGTGGGCAAGAGGGAAGAAGATAGAAGAGGAGGAAGAGTAACAGGACAGACACCAGAGGCAAATGTCATTGTCCAGGGTGGCTGTAGTTCAGGGAGAAGGGGGAAAGGGGAGGTTGGGTCCAGATGGCCAGTGATGTTAGAAATTGTCGTAGGGGCACAGCCAGCGTGGCTCAGTAATTGAGCAGCAACCTATGAACCGGGAGGTAATGGTTCGATTCCCGGTCAGGGCACATGCTTGCGTTGTGGGCTCGATTTCCAGTGTGGGGCATGTAGGAGGCAGCCAATCAAAGATTCTCATCATTGATGTTTCTAACTCTCCCTCTCCCTTCCTCTCTGAAATCAATAAAAAAGAAAAAACAAATTGTTGGAGGGTATGAGTGGGATGATGAGAAGGGATATATATCTGAAGCCTGGGAAAGTTCTGGGTCTTGAGTGGAACAATGCTAGGAAAGGAGCTCAGAAAGGAAGAGATGTGAGCCTCGGGGATGAGGGGCCCATGTGCTTAGCAGAAACCTCTTTTCCTGAGACTCCTGACAACACCCATCTTCCACAGCTATTGATCCCAGTGACAGTGGGCAGCAGGTGTCTAGCCTGGGTCAGACTTTATCCATTGTCCTCAGTCTGGTAGTCTGGAGTGGAGAGAGGTCCGGCACACACAGCCCTCTTGAAGTCTATTTGGAGAAATCCTGATGGTATTTATTTACTCACTTATTCAACAAATATTTATTGAGTGCCTACTCTGTACACACCAGGTATTTAACAGTAAAGCAGACAAGAGGAGAATGACGGTAGTATAGAGAGGTCCCAAATTCTGGAATTTTGGGGTCTCTTCTCTTTACAGGGAATTGGGTAACGTAGTTCATTCATTTAAGTCTGGATTCTCAGTGCTGAATTTCCCTTACACAAGGAGCTGCCCTCCTGCTGATCATGTGTGTGTGCTTCCATTCTAGATGCCTTAGGGCCACGTCAGCTGCCCCAGAGGACTCATTCCTGGTGGCCAGAAGTTGCCAAGCAACTCACATGTGTTTGGCAGGCTCCCTTGGAGTCTTCAGCTCCCAGTGACACTTCTGGAAATCCAGTCCTCCGACCTACCCAGCTGGCATCCTCCTCGGCAGCCCACCGAGCCATGGAGGCCCCGGAGGTCCCAGTGGGCTCACTGATTGACTTTGAGACAGAGCCATCCGCCTCCTCACCTGTGGAGGCACTGCCACCAAAGCTGCAGGATGGGGACAGCGGGTCGGAGAGTGAGACCACGGAGTCAGCAGACAGCGAGAACGACATGGGCGAGTCGCCCTCTCACCCATCCTGGGACCAGTACCGCCGCTCCTCCTCCAACGAGTCCTTCTCTTCCAACCAGAGCACAGAGTCGGCCAAGGACGAGGAGGCCCTGGAGCTCAGGGAGTTCATGCGTGGCTACGTGGAAAAGATCTTCTCTGGAGGGTAAGTCCCCGGGGCCTCTCCGCTCTAGGCTCTGTCCCTGAGCAGAGCGTCACCTGGGCCAGGGCTCCCAGCCGCTCACCAGCCAGTGATAGGCCTCCCCAGTCGTTCACAGCCCCACCCCGGCTGCAGATAGAACTAGGTGGGGAATTTTCACCCTTTCTTTGATCCCACCACTGCTTTGACCACTCCACCAACACCCTCATCTCACCATTGCTGAATCCCAGGACACTAGTTTTGCTTTCCCAGTAACTGCTCGCTTTCCCAGTAACTGCCAGAGTCATGCTTGGCTAGGGGGCCACAATTATTAGCTGGCATTAAATTTAGGGGCAATATAACGCAAGGGGGTATCAGAGCCATGCTCCTTGTGATGAGCCTTAAGCAGCTGCTTGGGTGGGGACTCTTCCTAGCACCTCTTCCTGGCCTTTCACGGTTCTTGAAGGGATGGGTAAGGAGCATGGCATGGGGAGCAACAGGAAGTGGGAGTGAGAGTTAGAATGCAGGAGAAGCAGGGAGTCTGTGGATAGGTTCTAGCTCTTCCGCCTCATGCAATTACTGTCTCAACCAAGGGCCAGGAGAGGCAAACAAACCCAAATTCAGGGGTGGCAGGTGTTGACTGGAGATCTTGCGTCATTCACAGAAGCACATTCAGGGCTGGAAGTCTTGCTACTCAGACTGTCTTTTTTATATATCCTATATAATAAAAGGCTAATATGCAAATGGACTGAATGGCGGAATGACTGGTCTCTATGATGGGTACTGACTCCCAGGGGGCAGATGCTCAATGCAGGAGCTGCCCTCTGGTGGTCAGTGTGCTCCCACAGGGGGAGCACCACTCAGCCAGAAGCTGGACTCACAGCTGGCGAGCACAGCAGCAGTGGTAGTAGCCTTTCCTGCCTCCGCTGCAGTGCTAAGGATGTCTGACTGAGGGCTCCCAGACTGTGAGATGGTGCAGGCTGGGCTGAGGGACCCCCCTGAGTGCAAGAATTTTGTACACCGGCCCTCTAGTATAATATATTTTTATTGATTTCAGAGAGGAGGGGAGAGAGAGAGAGAGAGAGAGAGAGAGAGAGAGAGAGAGAGATAGAAAACATCAATAATGAGAGAGACTCATTGATCAGCTGCCTCCTGCACCCTCCTGACCAGGGATCGAGCCCACAACCCGGTCATGTGCCCTGACTGGGAATCAAACCATTACCTCCTGGTTCATAGGTCAACACTCAACCACTAAGCCAGGCTGGGACCCAAAGCATCAGCATCACTGGCAGCTCCTTAGAAATGCAGTCTTGGGCAGCACCCTGCCCCCCACACACTGGCCTGGATCTGCCTTCTAAGAAGGCCTCACACGTGTGTAACTGCCCACACACATCACATCTGAGGAGCTCTGGACGAAGGGGAAGTTTTCCAATTTCATTAAAGCAGTAAGGATGTCTGCTGTTGACACTCTGCAAAGAATACATTCTTTTCTATCGTGATTTAGGTCCCTTGTTTATAAACTGGCATCGTTGGAGGCAAACTCAGGTGTACCTCAGTTTCCTATGCAGTTAAAAAAGAAAAAATTTCAAATGCTAATCCATCTATTTGACTATCTAAAAATCATGTATGTTTGATTTTAAATGCATTCTGGGAGAGCAGTAGATGTGGCTTCCTATTTATTTTGTTTGACTAACACTGACATTAGTCAGCTTTCTCTGAGCACACCCAGTTAACGAACAGGGGAGAAAGCCTGAAGCTTGTCAGTTTGCCAGGAAGGCTGGTCTGTATTTGCGGCAGCCTGTCGGCATCATGGAACATGGACAGCTGGATCGGACGCATTTTCAAGAGCATTCCAGAAATCACTGCAAATGGCTGGCAAATTCTCGTATTTCATCTGGTGTTTGGGGATAAATGAGACCAAGATGTTTTCTACAGAACCTTAAATAAATGAAATATTGGATAAGCCAATTGATCTTCAGCTCCTACTTCATTTTTGCAGTCATTGAATTTTGGGTGGAGTATTAGCCCCCTATGAAGACTGATCAGAAGTGATTTGAGATCAGTGAGCACTTTGTCCACTCTGGAGGTGGTGAGTGGTGACCCACTACGGTCCCCCAGTCTCCACCCCTCACACAGAGTGGATAGAGGTGAGAAGACTGGCTTTTCAGAAGCTCAGAGGCTTAGCAACCACGCCCGCCATCTGATTGGTGGGAGGGGCATCAGATGCTTGTCCTACTGAGGCTGAGGCATCCTTGAATTCACTGGGTGGGTCCATGCTGGCTTCAGCACCAGAGATTAGTGAGATGAGCTAGAGAACAAGCCCTCAGAGGAGGTCGACGTCACCCTTGTTAGTGCTTGGACCACCGAACTGAAGGCAGGAGGACCAGGGAGAAGGAACATGGGCTTTGGAGCCAGGAAGTCTGATGGAGCCCCTGTTCACTCCCCAGCTGTGCCTGGTCCCCCAAGCCAGTCTGCTCACCTTTGAAATAGAAATAACACCATTTCCTTGAGAGGGTTGCCCAGAGGGTAAGATGAGCTGACGGAGTTCAGGCAGCTGTACTCAGCTGGTGTTCCTCTCTTTCCTCTTCCTCCTACGGTAACCTGTTTTGTTCCAGAGATTGAAAGTTTTTCCCTCTGCTCTTTTTTTCAGGGAGGACTTGGACCAGGAGGAGAAAGCTAAGTTTGGGGAGTACTGCAGCAGTGAAAGTGGAAAAGGCCGGGAGTGGTTTGCTCGATATGTGAGCGCCCAGGTAAGAGCAGGTGTGATGGGAGAGGTAGGGCGGTGATGGGGACGGGGCTGGTGATATGTAGCATCCTCTTTCTTTTTAATTCCTCCACTGAGGAGAAAGGAGTGGAGGGAAATGACCCAACAGAAAAAAAAGTAACACTTATCTCAAGATGTTCTGAAAGGCCTATTTAGAATAGTGGGAAGTGGCATGTAGCTCATTTGGATGCCCCGCTGGGAAGGAATGAGTGAGAAACTGGCCTGTCCACCACATGAAAGTCCAGAAAAGTTCAATTTTAAAGGCAAGTGTGTGGGTTAACCTATTTTTATTAAATAACCTACCATATCCAGTTTTTCTAAAGATATATTCAGGACAATGACAGCCTATAAGTTCAGAAAAGAATTACATTTTGTAAATATCCAGTGGATTCCTTTTTGTTTTCTATAAAGTGGCTTAAGTTCTTAGTTTTTAAAGTATTTTTCCCCCAAATAATTTATTCTTCAAAGAAAAATTAGAAAGTGCAGGTAAGCACAAATAGAAAAACTACTAATAAACCTACAATCCAGAAATAGCCAATGTTGTCATTTGGAGTTTTGCCCCTCCACACTTTTGTATGAGGGTGAGGGGTGAAGTTCCTAGGAGATGCAGTAAAACATCTGCCTGTGCTGGGTGCCAGGACTGGCCGGGGTCCTGGCTTCTCAGGGCAGGGGAGGCTGTATGGTCCTGGGCTCTCACCCAGCTGCTTTGAGAGGTGCTCAGCGTGGTAAGCCCACAGCCCCTCTGAGCTGCCCTGTGCCTCTGCCACCCGGCTGCCCGATGACGTGTCTGCCCTCCCCCCAACAGCGCTGCAATTCCAAGTGTGTCTCAGAGCCGACCTTCTACCGCCTCGTGCAGTCATTTGCGGTGGTCCTGTTCGAGTAAGTAATGCTGCTGCTCAAAGCCTTTGTCCTAAGGAGCTTGTCTTCCCTTCCTACTCTGCCCCACGATAACCCGGTTGTGAGTAAGAGCCGCCGAGTCATCAGCTCGTAGCTCCTGTGATGCACCCAGCATCAGCTAAAAGGAGAAGTCGTGACCAGCAGCTGTGGGAGGGAGTTAGTGAGAATCCTTAACTGCAGTAGAGACGAGAGGGTGCAGCTGGGTGTGAGTAAATCCCTCACTCCGGTCCTCGGGGCAGGCTGTGATTACACACAGTTGACCTCACCCTCCTCCAGGAGAGATCTGGAATTTTCTTGATTTCCTGTTGTGAAGTACTTCAAGCTAGGTAACCGCCCACTTAATGATACGACTGGGTGACACAGCCTGCTCTGAGTAGGCATTTGGCACTGCTGGGCCTTTCTCACAAAGGCGTTGGTAGACAGTATGTGTGTGGAGGTGGAAAGGGCCCCTCTGCCTCTGTGCAGCTGTGGGAGGCAGGCCCTGGACTCGCGGGCTCTCCTCCTGGGACCCACGGCTCTAGGACTGCCAGGCCTGCTTCAGACGTCATGGACTTGTATCAGAGCGGGTGATGTGTCCTCCAAATTATGAACCTAAGGGACACATTTAGGCCTGGGGGAAGCTGAGCAGTGGCTTCAATGATCCAGGTGGACAGCAAGGATTGTGGGTGGGAAAGGAAGGGGCTGGCCTGACAATCACTTAGTATCCTTCCCCCATCACCTCAATGTGGCCTCAAAGCAGGGCCTGGTCCCATGGCTTCTACCATGGCCACCTCCCTGTGTCCCCATCCATCTTGTCCTTCCTTCTCACAACAGAAATGTAGCTCTTCTCTTCAGTCTTAACCCCCCTGTGTCTCGGTGTCTCCTCATCATTCCGCCACGAACATGGGGCATGTCCTGGAGGAAAGTAAGCAAAAGAGCCGAGGGTCTGTGTTTCCTGCGCTTGTCCAGAACACCCCAAGTTCAGGATATAGCCCCGGGGGGAAACTGGGTGTGCCCCGCCTCAGCTGGGAGCTCATGTTGTCTCGTGTGCACCATGCTCTTAGACACAACATTCTTCAACTTCCAGACATTTGCATCTACAGAAGTTTTCACGAACCCTAAGTTGGTGTAGATTGTGCCTGTCCCACATGGTAACATACTTATCTACTTCTCAATTTTTCTTTGCATTTTTTCTTAAATAAAATTAAGGGGGAAAATTAAATTCAAGTTTCAACTGTGCTAAAACACAAAATCTTTCCATTACTTTGTGAGCATATATATTGTTGTAGGATTGCAAACAAAACAAAACTTCATAATATTTTGAAATATTTATTAATTTTTTGAAATATGAGTTTTGTCATTTTAGTTTATTAGTATCTTTAGTTTTTACTTTTCTGTAGTCTGTATGGTTTTATTAGTGGTTTAGTTCTTTAAATTTATTAAATTATTTTTATATTAAAATAGCAACAAAAATGACCCAAACCCACTGTCTAGATCAGGGGTGGGCAAACTTTTTGATTCGAGGGCCACAATGGGTTCTTAAACTGGACCGGAGGGCCGGAACAAAAGCATGGATGGAGTGTTTGTGTGAACTAATATAAATTCAAAGTAAACATCATTACATAAAAGGGTGCGGTCTTTTTTTTTTAGTTTTATTCATTTCAAATGGGCCGGATCCGGCCCGCGGGCCGTAGTTTGCCCACGGCTGGTCTAGATCATTTCTATTGACTTTTTCTTTAAGCATTGTTTGTTCAAGGTTAAAAATTAAACTAGCTCTGGCCGATGTGGCTAAATGGTTAAAGCATCAGCCTGCACACTGGAGGGTCTCGGGTTTGATTCTTAGTCAAGGCCATATACCTGGCTTGCAGGACCAATCCCACCCCTGCTCAGGGTGCGTGTGGAGGCAACCAATCAATGTGTCTCTATCATATCAATGTCTCTCTCTCTCTCTCTCTCTCTGTCTCTCTCTCTCTCTTTCTCTCACCTATCTCCTCCCTTCCACTCTCTCTAAAAATCAATGGAAAAAATATCCTCACTTCTCATTTAAAAAAAATCTAACTCACGTAACTCAGGTAACTGGACCAAGGGGAATTATTTTTGTTGTCTCTCCTAAGTAGCATCTGGGAAGTGAGGTACTAATTTAGGCGTCTTTGTAAAGGATTTCAGTCTTTTTTCATGAACTTGCAGTAAAAAGATCGGGTAGAGAAAAAAAGAAAGAAAGAAAATCGGGTGGGACGATTATTTAGCCAGTCAACCTTGCTTCCCATTTCAGGTGTCATCAGATGGATGACTTCGGGCCTGCCAAGAACCTCATGACCATGTGCTTCACTTACTACCACATCGGTAAGACATGGGGCATGGCTCACGTGGAGGGCAAACTTGGGAACCCAGGACTTGTCAGCTTCGAACCTGGCATCAAATGAGGATTTTTTCCTGATCAAAGGCAAAGCTGTGAGGCTTCCAGAAGTCAGTGAAAGCTGATGTCGGGGAGGGAATGAGCGAGCAAGGAGTTAGATTCCTGAGACAGGAGGAGACATGGTCTACCTGGCGGGGCAAGTCATTGACTGTCCACAGTATGAAGGAAACCTCCCAGCTGCTGGGAAGTGAGAAAAACACTCAGCGGGGCGTTTCACGATGGCACAGGCACTGCTGGATGTAAGGACATCAGTTTTAGGTTTGGCTGTTGCGGGCAGGTGAGAGAAGCAGTCTGGATTCTGGGCTGGGAAGCCCTCCCAGGCAGGGGTCAGGGTGCCTTCATGCAGAGTGCAGGCTGTTCTTCATGCTGAGGCTCTCACAGCTCTTCTGGCTCATTCCATTGGGACTTTCTGGTATGCGGAGCTGGCGGGCTCCCTGTCTTAAGCTGCTACAACAGTCTCATTCGGGCCACGTAAGGAGACGTTGCTAGGCCTGCACAGGGACTGGAGCTGGGTCAGGGCAGTGCTAGCGCTGCCTCCCGTTCCACCCTTTCTGCGTGACCCACGGGTTCGATCTTGTGTGTATCCCTTCCTCTGCAATTTGGCTTTGTCCCCTCCTCATTCCCAACAGCCATCCTCTCTGTGCCCCTCAGGTCTGTTGACAGTGGCTGGTCTGACTGCTTGAGCTCAGCCAGGCCACCACTGGGCAGGCCCTTGGTGCTGGGCCACTCATCGGCTGCCTTTGGGTCAGCTGGGAACCCCTCATCCAACCTGTGGCTCCTTCTTCTCATAGAACAGCTAGATGCTACTTATCTGAGTCAGACCTGTGCACAGAGCAGCTGAAATTAGGAGATACTCAGTACCTTGACCTGTGTAGGGCCCTTTGACCTATAGAGGATGCCGTGGCCTATAGGGGCACCTGGGCCTGAAGGGGTCACTTTTGACCTGAAGGGGGCATCTTGCCTGGGGGGTGTCTTGACCTATAAGGGGGTGACGTGGCCTATAGGGGGCACCTTGGCTTGTAGGGGGCACGTTGGCCTGTAAGGAATGCCTTGGCCTTCAGGGGGGTCTTGGCCTGAAGGTCCATACACTGCCCTTAGAAAGGGATATTCCTTGTGTTGCCTCCACTCATACTCCTCCCAGAACACCCTCCTCTGGCCTTCTCCCTCATCCAGCATCCTCCTGTTTCAGGCCCCATGCAGGTGCATCAGCCTGTCTGGAACCTGCATGCCTCCTCCCACCACAAGGAAATGCCCTTCCTCTGTCGCCCTCCAGCCCTTGGCCTCTGCCATTGCCTTCACTACACTCTCACTCTGTGTGCATTGCTCACCTCCTTTCTGGGCTGCGTGCTTTGGGGCTGGATCCTTGCCTGTTTCTTCTTTGGCCCCTGTGGGACCTGGCTGACTTCTTGTACAGTCAGTGCTTAGTGACTGCCCGAGACAGAAGGTGCCTAGGTCACGTCTTCCCTGGGGCACCTCTCAGCCATTTGCTTCGCGCTGCCGTGTCCGGCCATGTGGAAGGAGGCCTTCCTGCCACACCAGAGCGGCTCCAGCAGCAGACAGGCGTTCCTTCTGCCCTTGGTTGTTGCTGCTGCATAATATGGTTCTTATTCCCACTTTTCTTTCTCCTCTGTCTCCAGGCAAACCACACCTGCTTCCCTCAGAGTCCAAGGAGAAGCCTGCAGGGAGCATCGACTCCTACTTGAAGTCCGCCAACAGCTGGTTAGCGGAGAAGAAGGACATCGCCGAGCGGCTGCTGAAGAACACGGAGAACGTCAAGGGCTTCTTCGGGGGGCTGGGACCCCTGGTCAGGAAAAATGAGTAAGTGTCGCCTGCTGAGCATCTCTGTCTCACTGGGGAGGGGCAGTCACGCATGTGTGACAAACAGCAGAGGTGACTAAGTTCGAGATGGGAGGAGTTGCTGGCCTGCTAATGACAGTCTGTTTGCCCTTGGCCATCTTAGGGGCCGGGAGCTGCTGGAGAAGCGCAGCTGCCAGCCCAGCTTGCCTCCCTGCCCCCAGAGTTTTCTAGGGTTTCCAATGTGCTCTGCTTGTTGACATGCAGGGCGGTCCCCTGTGGGTCTGTGTTTTCTGGATGGATGAGGAGCACTTGGACATTGTCAGTTGGCAGGAGGGAAATTACAAACCCTCCTTCCTCCTCCCTCTGACTGGTGAGAGCTTGTGTTAAAGGAAGAGGCAGGTTCAGGAGAAGCCTCTGTCCCCAGGACAGCAGCTTCCACAGACACTCAGGACCCTGTTCACGCATGCAGGTGTGAACACTTCCACAGGGGAAGAGGCGCGTCAGCAAGAGAGCTCTGGGCCAGGTGCCTGTGCCAGCCACCTGGGGTCCCCGCGGTCACCTCCAATGGCTTGATTACAGTCAGGCAACTTGGCTTTTTTCCTTTTCTGGTCTATAGAGTTTTGAATTCAGAGAAAATGGCACAAAGAAGCCTAAATTCAAAAAGACTGGCAATTGACAAATGTAGCATTGGTTTAATTGAAATTTGGTTTAGGGAAAACCACATGAAATGTACACACTGGTTGTGAGACTGAGTCCCGTTTCAGCAGTGTAAAACAGTTTCTTTGAGAGAGTGTGGGGGTCATGTTGTCACTGCCATGGTCCCTCTCCCCCAGGGAGGAGGAGAGCAAGCCCAAGGACAAGCCGCAGAAGACTGGTGAGTGCCCTCCCTGCCCCCCCTCTACCCGGTCCCGTAACCCAGGCCCCGCAGGAGTCTCCCACCAGCCCCCCTTTAACTAGCAGCACCAACAAGCAGGTGCCTAACTGTCCTGGGCTGCACTGCCCCTGCAGCACAAGGTGCTGCCGTAGGTGACTCCCCAGTCCCTCTCAGCTCCGGTCTGTCTTCTTGCTGAACTTCCGCAGGAGAGCCAGTCCTCTAGGGAGAGGAAGCGGGAACTAAGCTCCTCATCCCGGATGTTCAGGGAAATATCACTGGGGGTGCAGGAGCCTTCTGGGGATCCCTCAGAAAGAATCATTGCCAGGTGTGAGGACCTCATTACTGCCCACGGGCAGTGGCAAAGCTGTCGTGCAGTTTCAACTGTGCAAAAGTGTGCATGCCAGTGGCCGCTGGGGAGCAGCAGTGGCCTCAGCAGCATCCATGGGGTTTGCAACCGGAGCCAGGCTCAATCTTCCTCCCCCTCCCGCAGTGACCGTGTGCAGCCCGGAGGAGGAGAGAAAGGGGGAGAAGATCTACCTGTACACGCACCTGAAGCAGCAGCCCATCTGGTAAGGCCCCCCTCATACCTGGTCACACCAGAAATGAAGGTCACTCACGCAGATAAACAGATGAACAATAGCAGGGTTGGTGAGGATGCAGAGAAATTGGAGCCCTCATATACTGCTGGCGAGATTGTCAAATGGGGCAGCCACTTTAGAAAATAGTCTGGCAGTTCCTCAGAAGGTTAAACATAGAGTTACCTATGATCGGCAATTTCACTCCTAGAAATGTACTCAAAAGAATTGAAAACGGGTATTCAAGCAAAAACTTGTGCATATATCTTCACAATAGCATTCTTCCTAAGAGCCTAGTGGTGGAAACAGTGTGGCTGTCCATTTCTATGGACATTTGCTGTATGGATACACAGAGTGACATAGCCATCCCATGGATGTCACCCAGCCATGTACAGGAACGAGGCACTGGTACCTGCTTTAGTGTGGGGGACCCAGGAACAGATTTTGCTAAATGAAAGGAGCCAGACTGAAAGACCAGATGGTGTGATTTAATTTATATAAGATGTCAGGACAGGCAAATCCCTGGAGACAGAGTAGATTAGTGGTTGCCAGGGGTTGAGGGCATTGGGGAATGAGGAGTGACTGCTGATGGGTATGGGGTGATGAGAATATTTTGGAAATAGATAGTGGTGTTGGTTGTACCACTCTGTGAATATACCAAAACCACTTAAGTATTGCATGCTTAAAGGAGTGAATTTATGGTAGGTGAGTTATACCCCAATAAAGCCACTTTATATGTATAAAGGTGCGGTTGAAGTGAGAGGCCAGTGGTCAGGGGAAATCTTGCCCTCCGTCTTGCTCTGTGTGGATGAGCACTTGTGCTGCTAATCCCTCTGCAGCCTTTCTATCCCCGTGTTTATTTACTCACAGCAGGCAATGCACCAGCACCTGGCACCCCAGGTACCAGGCATGCCCTCCCTCAGAGATCACAGTGTAGCTGTGGGAGAACTTGGCCACAACAAAGCCGGGGCCCAGCCAAAGGGCAGGGCTGGAGCTGTCCAGGAACTTCCCTGGGGAGGCCCCATCTGAGTTGGGCCACTTTCAAGGGGAATCAGGGAGAAGTGGAAGCTGACCAGCCCATCACAGCCCCTGGGCCTTGACTTGGGGGCTGTCTTATCACCTGCAATAGGGTAACAGCCCTGAAGGGCCAGGTGATGAATATTTTAGGGTTTGCAGGCAACCACTCAACTTTGCTGTTAGAGAATATGTAAGTGAGTGAGTGGGGCTATGTTCCTATAAACACTGATTGACACAGGCAGCAGCCGGATTCGGCCCACCCCCGAAATCCATGGTTGGCTGACCCCTGATCTTCTTTAAGAGGAATGCTTCTAACTGTGTGTCCCTATACACGTGTTTGCCCTCTGCACGTAGCCTGTCCCTGCCAGGTTGCCGTTTATGTTACTAGCACCTGTTCTAGAAAAGCAGGTCTCTTTGAACCCCTTGCATTCTCTTGGGAGCCTCAGTGGGAGATGGAGAAGCGGGAAAGGGCTCCTGCCCCTAGTGGCCTCAGCTTTGACCTGAGGAATCCAGGGTTACCCAGCTCTGCCTCCTTCCTGCCTGCACTTCACCCAGGCACTCATGATGCTTGGCCGGGAGCCCCAGGGAGGCACCTGATTTAGGATTAAGGCTCATTATTTTCCCATCTCAGCCCTGCCTCCCTGAGACTTGTCCATCATCCGGATGTGGCTGGAAACGGCTTCCTCATCCCTCAAGTGGGCGGGAGCGGCCTTCCCTCACCGCTTGGAGAAGTGACGAGTGTCTCTTTCGCAGGCACACGCTGAGGTTCTGGAACGCGGCCTTTTTCGATGCTGTCCACTGTGAGAGGAGAAAGCGGTCCCCCACGACCAGGTAGGAGCAACGTGTGGGCTGGCGCTCTGGGGAGGAGGACCCGGGAGCACGTTCTTTTCCTGTTTCTGAAGAGGAGAGCAGAAGAACGGCTGAGTCATGGGTCTCTCTCCCTCAGCCCCGGGCCTTTGCCTGCAGGCTCCTGAGGCCCCAGCGCAGAACTCCAGGGGCGGGCGGGGTTCTTGCATGAGCTCTTCCTGTCCTGGGGCTGGCATGACTCAGCCTGACCCTCCTAAGAAATGCGGACGCCCCCTAAATGGACCCCTGGGGACCCCTCGGCTCACTCTGCCTGGTCTCTGTAAGAAGTCCGAGTCCTGAGCATGAACCACTGCTGCAGGGCTGTGCAGGGCTGGGGTGCAGGGCTGGCTGCCACCCCCAGACTTTGCTTGAACATCTGGAGAAATGCAGTTGCTGCTTTCAACTTGCTCCTCTGGTTTGCAGCCCTTCCCAGCTTCCCTGAGGGTGGTCTCGCCACTTCCGAAGACCCCTTGGGTGAACCGTTTCACCAAGCACGTGGCACGTGGTGGCAGTGAGGTGTTGGCACTCAGTTCTCTCTCTGGTCACAGTGAGCTAAGGTTGCCGTGGGCTGGTGCTCAGTTCTCTCTCTGGTCACAATGAGCTAAGGTGCTACCCACTGCGCACAGCGCTGGGCAGGACAGGGGCAGCAGCCGGCCCAGTCCTGGGCGCCCTTGTTGGCCTCCCTGGTTGGGACTTTGGAAGCCTCTGAACCTCGCTCATTAACAAAATGAATCCCCTTTCCCCTAACCCCAGGGAGACCCCTTAACCTTGGTCCCTGGCAGGAGAGAGGGCAGATCCTGCCGTTTGAGTCTTCAGCCCACTAGCACGTGGGGGAATTGCAGGTGAAACCTGTTTGGGTGGCAACCGAACCCTAGTGGGAGCGAGGTGGCCTGCCTGTGCCCCCAGCAGTCTGCTGTGGCTGCGTTTCCTGTGGAGGCAGAGGGAGCATGCGGGGGTCGGGGGCGGACGCTGACACTTCCCAAGGACTCTAGAGAGAACTCTACACTCGCCAGGGAACAAAACGGAAGGAAATGCTTAGATGCTCGTAGGTGAATGGGGTTTCTTTTTGCTTAGCTCTCAAATCCCTAGGAAGCAGATTTATCTCAAATACGCTGCCTCTCTCTGTCCTTCTCTGCTTCTGCCTGAATAACCCTCCTTCTTCCGCTTGTTCTCTTTTTCCATCCACATATCTTGCATGACTTTGACATGTTCCTCTGTTGACCTGTTTCTGCTGCCGCTCCAGAGGGGATGCTGGAGAGGAGGAGAAGAAGAGGTGTGTGTCCACGTGACTTTGTTCATGTTACAGTGCTGGGTCCCCTCAGGGCCACCTCAGGGTGGGCGGGGGTGGCCGGAGCCCAGACACAGGTGCCACTCAGCACTGGCTACCAGCAGTGAGGGTGTCCCTGGGGGGCCAGGCTGGTGATGGGTGAGAGCTCTCCAAGGACAGAGCACCCCAAAATAGGAAACAAACAAGGTACCCAGACCTCCGAGAAGGCCCAGTGGGAGTTCAGAGAGGAGAGAGCAGTGAAGTCCAGAAAGTCAGCTCTGATTTCAAGCAAATCAAGCTTTTCGCTGGTCCCTCTGGCCCCTTCCAGGCCGACCTCACAGCCACACCCGCACCTTCACTGTGTCACACTGGAATCCTGGCTCCGAAGCCCTGGGCAGGTGCAGGGGACACACTCAGTCACACACGCAGGTGTGCGGGGGTCTGCCAGACCCTCACCGCCGTAACAGGGTGGGGAGTCACAGGAAAGGGACAGCCGCTCTCTCTCCCAGCCTAACAGAGCCTGTGTGTATGAGGGGTCCCCGAGAGAAAGGCCTAGCATGGGGTCATCTCCTGGTAGCCCACAGTGGGGTCTGACTCTCACTGAACTTTATACATATTTGTTGGACATCCTTTGTAATATAGAGGCCTGCCTATTCAAAATATCATTTCTGATAAAATGATTTCTCTCCCCCCCCCCATGAAAATTTCCCCAAACATGCTAACTTTAATGAGTAATATAATTTTGGTGCTTATTGTTTTATGAGAAATCTTGTTTTTTATGCAGCCTTCCTGTGGCTCTAAAAGGGGCATTTAGGCATAACCCGTCTCCTTTAGGAGGAAGCCCCTGCGTTCCCACAGCCTCTCTGGGTGAGGTGGTGAGCCAGCTTCCTAGAGCAGGCTCCTTAGCCTCAGCCCGGCAAGAGGGTGGGGCATTGTGGCCTCCGGCTGGTCAGCGCCCAGCCCGGGAGCAGGCCAGTCTCTGGGCCTTACAGGCCTTCTCACTGGAGCAGATGTGGTCCGACCGCACACATCTCAGACCTTCCCCCGACACCCAAACGTGCCCTAGGCCGTACCTGGAAGAGGGGCAGGTGCTGCTTTGAGATTGGGGGCAGGAGGGTCAGCTCCGACTCCAGGGCAACTTGATGCTTCCATGTTATTTCTGCTTGTTGTAAACGGCTAACATGCCATTGGTGTCCTCTCTGTTCTCGGGTGGAAACATCTCCTGCAGAAGGCTCCCCATTCTACAGGCTGTTGGTCACTCCAAGTTCCCACTGCTGCAGTCTAGAATGTTCCGCCCACTGGGAGTTTTAGAACTTGACTGGTACCGGACAGCTTAAAGGAATTGATTTGATTGTAGGCACCACCTTCCACCTCTTTCTTCAGAGGTCAGATTAAAGGGCCCAGTTCTACTCCTAGTCACAGCAAACAGAATCCCCTCCGCTCCTGGGCCCAGAGGGGTGGAGTCAAGCTGCTGCACCCCAGGACTCCAAGGGACTGGGCCTGTTCAGCCTGCAGCCTGCACACCTGTCCCCAGCGGGCCTGGGGGCAGGATGGGATCTGGGTGCCTGGACAGCTCTAAGGAGACCACTGGGGAGAGAGGGCGGGGTTAGTGCAGCACCTGGGAGCAGATTCTGGCTGGCTGCCTGGGTGTCCTGTCGGAGGCGGAGGAGACGGGCGCTGCATGTGTCCTCGCCTCCTTCATGCCCAGGTCCTGGGCCTCCCGCTGAGTGGCAGCAGCCCCTGCGGAATCCCAGGCCGGGAGGGGCGGGTGAAGTGTTAATGTTCATGGTGTTTCTCTTCCTCTGGCTTCTCCATTATCCCAACCCCTCGTCCCTCATACTGCCTCCTCTCTCCCTTTTCTCTGATCTTTCTCCTAATCTTGTTTTAGACTCATCATCCAGAGTTTAATTTTTAGGAGGAAATAGGCTAAACTGAGCTTCTCACCATCTGCACCTCCTGCAAGTAGCACACTTCTCAGATGCAGGGGACACGGGGGCAGAGTAGCGCTGGGGTGGGGTGGTCACCCGTCCACTGGGGACAGGGCATGGGGAGACAATGGGGACAGCTTTCAGGCAGGGATAGCATGAATCGCTCAGAAGAACACCCTCCCCTCCCTGCATCCTTTTCTTGCTTCGTGTTGGAGGCTTTATGCCGTCTTCATGGTGGGCACGGTTCACGGTTCACGGTTCACTGGGGCCTGCGGGGAGGACCTGAGCCTGGTCCACGCGCCCAGGAGGGTGTGGACAGGCAGCACCGGCTGTGAGGAAGCCACGGGGAGACAGTGACCGCAGCACCCAGGCTGCCTGACCCGACAGTGAGGGTGGCAGGGCCTTCCAGCACCCCTGCTCCCTGGGCCTCGGGCACAGCCACCCACAGCAGGCCATTCCCTCCCCGCAGGCCAGAGCCACCAAAGCCAGAGAGGCCAGAGAGCCTCTTCGCAGGGTCTGGACGTCCACTCCCCATGGGACGCCACAGGGTCCTTTCCTCTGCATGTCTCTGTCCGTAAAACGGGCCATGACCTCCCATCCTCAAACCAAGGAGCAGGGCATGGAGGCGGCATTCTTAGCTCCTGGAGAATGTCCTAGGCAACCACCAAGCACACGTCCCCTCCCGTCGGTAGGAAATGTCTGAGCTCTGGGCCCTCCTCATCTTAGGAAGGGTGACATTAGTAAGTGGGGGGCCCTCGGGAGTGTGGGAGCGCTGGTGGGCTTCCTGTGTGGGGAGGCCCTGCGTGGGTACCGCTGATGCCGTAGGTCAGAGCAGGGCGGGGGAGAGGCTGGGCGCAGTGGCGCTCTGAACGCCCTCTCCTGTCCCCTGTGCTTGCAGGGAGAAGTGGTGCCACATGACGCAGGAGGAGCGCGACGACAGCCTGCGGTTCAACGAGAACATCACCTTCGGGCAGCTGGGGTAAGAGCACGGGCCGGAGCCCCGCCCTCGTGACTTCGGGTCACCCACAGAAAGAGAAGCAGGGCAGAGGCGCTGACACTGACGCCCACACTGGGTGGGGACTCTCCCACCCACAGTGTCCATGCGGTGACAGGGTCAGCCCAGCGTGAAGGCTCAGACAGCTCGGCAGCATGTGACTCATTACATTCGGCCTGGATTCCAGTTCCTATCACCCGCCCCCCATCTCCACACCTGTGGCGGCACTTTCACAGGGAGCCGTTGGCCGGCTGACAAGGGCCGATTTATTTTTACTTCTGTCTGACAATCCCAGGCAGGCGGCAGGCAGCAGGCAGGGCCTCCAGAAGGAAGGGCAGGTCCCAGTTCCTCTCCCCGGGGGCAGGAGGGTGCTAGCTCATGGTGTCTTTCCCTCCAGCACGTTCACTCACAACATGCTGGCCTTCGGGCTGAACAAGAAGCTGTGCAATGACTTTCTGAAGAAGCAGGCGGTGATCGGCAACCTGGATGAAGGTGAGTCGCGGCCAGAGGTGGGGCTGCAGTTCCAGGGACCAGCGCTCTGCAGACCAGTCTCCCCACCTGCTGGAAGCATCGCCCCTGTTCTAGTGAGAAGCGGGTGCTAACTGTCCGCTGGGTCGCCCTCCTCTGTCTCTGTCGACTTCAATGCACAGGACACTGCTCGCGCTGTTTGGGAGCCCATTGCAGCCCAGCAGGGTTGCCAGGCGTTGGGGAGCTGACAGTGCAGTGTTTAAGGTCAGGGACAAGGGCAAAGATGGACCTGGGCGCTCAGACTCTGAACTTGAAAATGGCCAAACTCACCACCACTTGCCCCTCCTTCTAAATGGCCACCACATGGCCTCCCTTTGTTTCTTAAACCCGCGCAGTGAGCGGGCAGGGTGGGGCAGATGGAGGGGGTTTTGAGGGTTATCTAGAGTTTCTGCTTCTGTTACAGAAGGGGATCCATTGCTGATGTCAGCTCCCCTGACATAGGACTGTGTCCACCTTCATGCATCACCCCACCTGCTACAAACAGCATTTCTTCCAGGCCTCCAAGCCTTCCACTTCACTGCATATTTGGATTGGCCAGTGTTGTTGTTGTTGTTTTTTTAAAAAAACAAACAAAAAAGAAAACAACACTTCATTCTGTTCTGGTCAGGTAGCTCAGTTAGAGCAACATCCCGATATGCCAAGGTTGTGGGTTCGATCCCACATCAGGGCACATACAAACACCAACCAATGACTGCATGAATTAAAAAAAACTGCATCCTGCACCAAACTGAAGGCGTTACGAAAGAGTGGCCTCAGGAAGGGGAGAGTGTTAGAGGCATCCCTAGATTATCTCAGATGTTGTCAGCAGCCCGCCACACCCACAAAGGGCAAGAACGCCATTCCTCTCCCACCACGTGGCTCCCGTGACAGTTAGTCTGCCCTCACTGTGCCTCCCACAGGCTTCTGGGAGGGCCCGAGGGACCACGCTCTGTATTATCATTCCCGTAAGAGGCTCCTGGGGCCAAGGAGCCCATTTCCAGGTGCACGTCCGCGCCTGGCCCGCAGCGAGCTGGTGGCGAGGGCTGTGTCGCCTCCAGCAGCCTGCACTCACCGTCCCTGATGCTGTCCTGACTTGTCATTGCCTCGGCGAGAAGAGCAGGACCCGCCATTTCTCCCACAAAATATCATTGTTCTCTCTTCCAGAGCAATACAAGCTGCTGAGCGACCACATCGAGCAGATGGCCGCCGAGTAGGCCACAGGGTCGCCCAGGGCACTCCTCAGGACCGGGGGCACCGCTCTCCTGGGCCAGCGACTGGCTGTCACCCACCTGATGACCCTGCATGACATCGGCAGCACCCAGCGCCACCCCACGCTGCCCCAGAACTAGCGGTTAGAAGACCCCGGCTGCCCGCCTCCCCACCCCCTCTGCCTATGTCTACTCCTCCGTTCACGTGCCAAAGTGTCCCTGGATTGTGTGACTAGAATGAGGTGACGTCCACCCTCCCCAGTGCCAGGCCTGCGACATGGAATTGAAGGAAGAGGAAGGAGGCCAGGACCAGGGTGGGCACAGGGCAGTGTCTGCCCACAGCCCCTGCAGGAGAGGGGGGTGCGTGGGAATGTACAGAGGGCAGCCCCGAGCCGGCCACGACTGACACGGCAGCTGGGAGACGGTCCGGGGCTCTGCTTCAGGCCTGGGCAGGGCAGAATCCTAGTCGGCTCCTGCTGAGCGGCAGCCTGTGGCGGGCGGGAGCCCTCTCAGTGTAGGTCCACGCTGGTGCTGGCTTTTCCTGGCTCCTCCCGCCGAGTGACAGGAACTAGAGTCACAGGAACCTCGAGGAGGTTCTAATTTAGGGAGGGAGAGAGGCCAGCGTAGAGGGCACCTGGAGAGGTCACCGCAGCTGTCACCCCAGCGAGGAGTCTGTGTCGCCGTCGGAACTGTTCCTGGTCAGCTGGCAGCTTCCTCCTCTTGCTCGCTGGGAGTGGCCTCGGCCGTCTGTCCCAGGAAACAGCACAGGAAAGAGATTTCTTCAGTAGCTGCAAGACAACCGCCCTTTCTAAAAGTGCTGCTCTTTATTTCAAAAAAGGGAAAAGGCGTTACACAGCCGGGCATAGGCGGCTCCTGGTGGCGGTTGTGTGAGGCCCACTAGCAGAGAGCTTCAGGGTTTTGGGCCCTCCACCCCTGGCAGCCTCGGGGAGGCACCTTTCCCTGCTGCAGCCCAGGCCCCATTGAGCTCTTTCCTGCAGACCCTGCAGATGACCCCTCCCCTATCCGGTGCCTGGGAAGCAGGCTCCTCCCTGAGTGTGTACCAGGCACAGCACACCAGCCAAGCGCGCTAAAGTCCGGCCTTCAAGCGTCCGGCATGCTGGCTCCTCCAGTGGGAATTCTCAGCCTCATTCCCTGTGCCGCCTGCCCATCACTCATGGGCACTGACCTTCAAATGGGCTCCTGGGGCTCTCTGTCCTCCGTCCTGTTTTCCCTACTACCTCCTCCAGCTCAAAACCACAGCACATTACTGTCTGCTCTCGAGCACAGCGGATCATGCCTGGTAGTCTCGTATCCAGCCAGTGCTCGAATGGGTTCCTGATGGAATGCCTCCCTGGAAGGTTCCAGAGAAGATCCGGTGTTGGTGGAGCCATTGAATGCACGTCTGGATAATCATGAGAGGCCCCGTGGAACGTGTGGTCTGAGTGTGTGGCGTAAATGTCGTCAGCTGAAAGAGCTCGTGTGTGTGTGTGTGTGTGTGTGTGTGTGTGTGTGTGTGTGTGTGTGTGTGTGTGTGTGTGTGTGTGTGTGTGTGTGTGTCATCAGCTGCTCTGGCGATGTCACGAAGCAAGCACAGCTGTGCTGCTGGGTTGCCTGCCGTGTGTTGGAAGGTCGTGCAGGCTGGCGTGTCCCGCCCCCAGCCTCACTGCTGGGCCCCAGTGATGGCGCGTGTCTCTACGAGTGCATTTCGGAGGAATGACAGAATGGATGGGTGTGTGCCCCCCCCCTACCCCCCCGCCAAGGCCTCCCTCAGGTAACGCATCCCCCTCAACCATTCAGCCCTGAGCCCTGGATGTGCTGCTGTGCCCCCTCCCCACCCTCTGTAAGACCAGGGCCTCCCTGTGGTCGGTCCGAGCCCTGCAGGGCTGCGGGAGGCCCCCTCAGCTTGCCGGCTTAGCTTTAGCAGTCGTTTCTTAGCAGTTAGCTGAGATGCATTAAGACTTCAAGACGCCCCGAGGACTCATCCCTGTGCTCTGAGGTGTTTGTGTGGAAGCTTTGGTTTGCGCTGATTTCTGGAGGAAGAAGGGTGCATTCGGAGACTTTCCCAGGGAGCTGCCGGGTGGGGCGGGAGCACACGGCCTTCGGAAGGAAATGCAGCTTTGGCCTCTGTGGGCTTTTCCACGCACTTAATTCCCAGATGATCTGGAGATACTTTTAATCAATAGGCCCCTGGAGATGGCAGCTGAAGGTGGAAGGAAGGGTTGCTTTGTGTTCCCCTCTCACTCCTGTTCTCATAGATCCCGCTCCTTGCAGGGGGGTAAGTCTGGCCCCAGAGGTGCTGCCTGTCACGTTCAGCCCCACAAGGGAGCGCTGACCAAGACCAGGGGCCACCTTGGCGTGGCCTGACGAGGGGATGGGAGGCTGCTCTGTCTCCCGTTGGCAGCTGCCTTTGGCCGAGCATTTCACCTCGGACTGCCTCCTGCAGGAGTGGCTCCTTAGAAGGAGGCTGGCAGTTTGCCTCACTGGAGTTTCCTCTCCTCCCTGTGACATCGTCCCTTCTCTCCAGGGCCTGGCTGAGCAGAGGAGAGGGGCCCTGGGAGGAGCAGACACAGGACGCACTCTCCGAGGCCCAACCGAGGAGCTGGCTCACCCAGTGCACACACAGGACGCTTTGGTCATAGAGCTCTGAGCCCTTCCTGTAAACTCGGGAGCCTTCGCCTCGGAGCAGGAAGCTTCCGATGGAGTCCAAGGAGAGGTTCCGGCCCCAGCAGGAGCAGTTTCCCAGGCTGGGGCTCCGCAGGCCTGCCATTCGCAGTGCAGCCCAGCTCTTCTGCTGGCTGCCCTCGGGGCTGAGTCATAGTGAGCCCAGACACATAATGCTCGCAAGTGAGATGTTCCCTCCTTGGAAAACTGGGAGGTTGAAATGCAGCCTTGTATGTTTTTAAGCTTTGTTATAATTTTTGCAATACTGGTGGGTGTTTAAGAGGGGCCACATTAGTGTTCGGACTGCAGCCGTGGTGTGGTGTGGTGTGGTGTGTGTGTGTGTGTGTGTGTGTGTGTAACCAAAGGGAGGAGAGCCAAATTCTGATATTGAAGTACTTTGTACAGTGGGATGAGTAGACTGACCTATTGCCAAAGGAAAGACAAGTGGGCCGAGGGGCTCTGACATTACAAAAGGGCGGGGAAAGGCGTCACTTCCTAGTTCTGCACCCAAATGAGGGCCTGGGTGTTTGGGTTAACCCTGCGGGCCCCGGGGGTGTCGGGCAGAGGCCAGGGCGGGAGTCAGAGGCACCACCTGTGGGTCCTGCTCTCGCCTCTCCATGCCCAGGGAGACCACGGATTCATGTGGCTACAGCCGGAGGTTCGCTCTTTCACGGACTGTTTTATGTGGTTAATGTACCACCAGCCTCCTGATGTGAGAAGCACAGCATTCAGTCCACAGAGGAGTCGGCCATGGGCTTTGTCTGGCCTGGGTGTTCGTGACCCGAAGTTAGGGCCACAAGCTGCAAGCCTGGCCCTCCTGGGCATTACTGGGCCCTAACCTTTGGCTTTTTAATTAGGAAGTAGCCAGGTAGACCCATGGTTAGGCCAGCTTGATTGCCAGATTACCCAAAACTTAAGATAGCTATGCAGCAGGGGGCTGAGTCCTTAGCACAGAACTGGGGGAGCTTGGGAATCAGGGAAAGGGCAGGAGGGCCGGAGGCCCAGCCCCAACCTCAGGAGGCGGGTGCAGCAAGTCCCGCCCACCACACCCAGCAGGTCCAAAGGTTTCATTAAACCAACGGTCGCCAACCTTTCGGACCTCATGGACCACCAGTGGTCCGCGGACCACCGATTGGCGACCGCTGGTCTAGGGCTAATCTCTCACCTTCCTCAATCGTAGATGAAACTGCTCCAAGGCTTATTCTTCTCGCCTCCTCCCTCACCTTCCCAGCCTTTGGTTCTCCTGAACCATTGCTCTCACAGCTTGGCCATCTCACCTTGCTTTTCTGTAAATCATTTATTCCTTTTCATGATTCTCGGGGATGTTTTACTTGAACGGCTTTCCGCCAAGCTTCCCGGTGAAGGGAAGGTGTATGGCTAGAAGTACCTCTAATGGACTGGTGTGCGGTGTTGAGGCCCCAGCAGGACAGGATTACTCAGCCACACGGGCCATGCGTCCGGAATGTCCTTACCCCCATGTGGCCGGGAGTAGGAGCGTGTTGGTTCTCCAGGAACAGATGGAGGAATCATTTCCAGGTTGCTCACACCCAGCGAATACAGCCAATGCTGAGACAAGGCAGGCTCTTGGGGCCTCCCTTGGGCAGGGTGTCCCTTGCCCTTCCTGGGCCTGTGCGTCTTGTGCTCCTCAGGAGGGATGGAAGGAGCCCCCGGGGGCCAGCCTTTGTTCCCTGGGCAACCAACCTGGTGTCAGCCTGTGTCCCCAAGGCAGCCAGCTGGTGAGTGGAACCCCAGGATTCAAGTGGGGCAGTGCTCCCAGTGCCTGGTTCTTGGTTGCTGTGGGAAACTCATCATTTTCAGGAGTGAGCCAGGATGGTCTGGGCCTGCCCCTCCCATCACTTACACACACAGCTCTCTCGGGGCATCTGCCACAGGGGGAGCCAATCCTGGCTTGACCTGTAGACTCCAGGCGTTGACAAGGCCAGTCAGACCTGAGCCCCGTAGCCTGGAGCTCCTCTGAGCTGCCCCTGACTGGGGTTTGCACTTTAACCATAAAGAGGACTCCTGCTGGTGAATCCCCTCTGCCCTGTGGGTCAGTCCTAGGACGGGGGGCTGTGCCTGTCTCCCCTCTGCCCCATGGGTCAGTCCTAGGACGGGGGGGGGGGGGGGGGCGGGCTGTGCCTGTCCTCCCCTGGGCCCTGGGCCATGTGCTCGTGAAAGGAGAACGGGACATGGGATGTGCATGGCGGTTCCACACGAGGCCTGATGGGTGGGGTCCTGTCCTGGAGACAGTGAGATCACGAGCGAGCCCGGGGCTGTCACTTCCCAGGGACACCTTAAAGACAAGACAAACATTTGACACTAGAAAATGCCAATATTTCAAACAGACATGATCCCCTGAGAACCTGACGTGGGCTAGAACATTGGCCGCCTTTGTGATACACGTGGCTTCCATTGGGCTTCGGGTGGGGTTTACACGCGCGCAGTCTCCCGTTTTCTCTCTCACCCAGTTTGTCTCAGACCTAAGCTTGCGCCTGGACATCACCTTTAGAAGCTAAAGGTGGCGTTCAGGGTGCGGGTCTTTTACGTGTTGCAGTTTCACTATGTGTCCCACCGGGTGATGCTCTGCAAACTGTATTTTAAGGTTGAGAGAGTTTCACGGTTGAGGATCTCAGAACTGTGCTGAAGTCAAGCACTGCTTCTTGCTGGGAGGAAAAAGAATGTCTGTACATTGCACCTCGGATTGTCAGAAGGTGGAAACTGAAATAAATTGTCATTGAAGAAAAAGTCTGTCTGGTTGCTGGTTTCACATATCCCTGAGAAATTTGCAATCTTCTCGGTGATATCAGAGGCTTTTCAGAAGATAACTTTTCTTCTGGAGTCAAATAGATGTTGTCACTATTTAGGGTGAGCGTTCGGGTCTTGTCCAGATGTGTGTGTCATGGGAAATGCTAAGAAGAGGAGGTTCCTCTGGATTATAAGGAGCCTGGAGCTGTGGGTTTGGGCGCTTGGGGGTATGTCCTAGTGAATGGAGTGGCCCCACCTGGACTGGACTTCAAGCCAGGGCCTCCAGGATGCCTCAAGCCCCTTCCAGCTGGAATCCTAATCCCGCTTTTCCTCTGAGCCAAGCTGCTCGCCTCTTGCATTTGGGGGTTTGAGGGGCTGTAATGGGAACTGATGACAACTCTTGCCTAATACAAACAGGAGGCCTTTATCGATCCTTTCCAACTTGGCTTGACAGGTGCATTTTGTGAAATACTTGGGCTTTTGTTTTTTCTAATTATAAGAAGTCAGTAGCCTCGTTCTAATGCTCTGGCCCAACCAGGTCTGGGAGGTAAAGTGAGGAGAGGGAAGGGCCTGGGGAAGGAGTCCTTGGTACCGAAGCCTGAAACAGCAGCTGGGCTTGAGGGGCCCAGGGCAGATGGTTCCCCACACTGTGAGGGGGGCTGGGTATGCTCCCTGCTCAGTGGGGTGGGGCCAACCTCCACGTGCCCAGCTCTCCCACCCAGTCTTGAGGACCCCAGCCCCGCTTACTCATACGTGGAGGGACAGCCTGGATGGCGGATGCCCCAGCTTGGACATCACGCCTGACGTTTAACCTGGGGCTAGGAGGATCCCGCCAGCAGGATTAGCTCAGGGCTAGATTCAGAGGCAACTCCAGGGAAGGGGAAGGATCCCTCTGATGGACAGTGGGACCCCGCAGAGCGGGGCAGGGTGGGGGCTCAGGTCCTGTTCCACCTTCCCCATAACTTTCCGCCAAATCATTGTTTAGTCCTCAGTGTCCTCATCTGTAAAATGGGAAGGAAGTCGTCACCTATCCTAGAAGGCTCCTGTAAGAACCAAATGCAGTATATGCAAATGCCCTTTGCAAATGGCCGAGTTGTGCTTATCACCATCCAATCTGATCCCGATCCCTCATTTTCCTGATGGGAGGCATACCCATGGGAAGGGTCCTACCCATTAAAGAAAAAGAACCAAAGATTTCTGTTTAAAGTTTATAGGAACTAATTTAAAATGTAGTATTCAAAATTCACAAACTAAATAGAAAAGGAATTTAAACAAGCTTTCAAATGGTGTTTTTTGCAAGTTGCAACCTTTTACTGACTTTAGCAAAGCTTAAAACTGCACTCGCACTTCCAGAACTCTGAGTGATGGCTTTTCCCTCAGACTCGTGCTGATCCTGTCGGCTGAGGGCCTCCAGTTCTCCTGCCTCAGCCCCAGATGCTCTGGTGCCCTGAAGAGGCCTCTCACCTCTTCCCATACCTGGGACCAGGGCCTTACTCTTGAAGGCATTTCTTCATGGCATGAGGAGTGGCTGTGGCTCTCTCTTTCCCTCTTACTCGGACATCTGCACAGGTTGCTTGGGGAACAATGGGGGGAGTTTGCTCAGTGAGGAGGAGGGGAAAGCAAGGGATGCAGAGGAAGGCCACCCAATCCAGTGGCTCAGGGAGACCCTGGAGTCATGCTGCTTCCAGCCCTGCCCACCCCACCTCTTACCTGGGGCCCCAAAAGAGAGAAGTTAGAAGTTTTGTTGCCAGTTCGCAAGTGACCCCCAGGGAGATGGTGACAAGGAAAACTCTTAGCCAACTGTCCAACCCTGTACTTAGAACAGTTGTTCTCTGGGTATGTTGGGGCCAGAGGGGAAGGGGAGAGTTCCCTTAGGCAGTCAACTTATTTAATGAGCACCTACTATGTGCCAGGCACCACCAGGCTCCAGGACTACCAGATGAATAAGCAACTTATTCATCAGTGGGGTTGGGGCACAACTGAAGTTTTTAAAAAGTACATTTATGTGTGTGTGTGTGTGTGTGTGTGTGTGTGTACATATATATGCTTATAGTATCAAGTATAAGATAAAAGATATAGTCAAAATGTGACTATATATAATATATAATCTATGAATATGTTATTTTATAAGTTACCTATTATATAGAAAATTTAGAATGCTTTAGTTATTTTTAGAATGTCCTTCTTCGTAGAATCAGGGTGGGCTTCCCTGAGGAGGTGCCAGGGAGCTGGACTTCGGGTAATACAATCACTGTGGTGAGGATGTTAGTCCTGCAATGATTTCATGAGTAAAGTGTGGTATTCTCCTCTTGCTGAGAGAAAATCATGTGCCCACCCCTCCCTTGACCTGCATCGCCCCTCCACTTCCCTGGACTTCTGTGATGTGTCCCCCAATCCCAAGGTCATCCCTGCACACCATGTTCATGTGTTATGGGGTGAATCAACTTACATGTTGACGTCCTAACTCCCAGGGCCTCCGAAAGTGGAAATAGACTCTTACTTGTAATTAGTGAGGATGGGGTCATACTGGATAGGGCAGTGGGGCTGGCATCCTTACAAAAAGAGGGAATTTGGACTCCAACACACACACAGGGTTTAAACACTCGGGTTCCCAGGTCACAGTGGGAAATGAGAGTCAGCACGAGTCAGGTCGGGATGCCCCCATTGTTTATTGAACACCTACTATGCACCAGGCGCCATGCTGGGCACATTGAAACCCAGGGCACTTGGGAGGCGAGTGAGACTGTCCCTGTTGTGCAGATGAGGAAACAAGCTCAGAGGACATGTGATTCGCCAGGGATACGCAGCAGAGGCCCCCCAAACACCCAGGGCCGGCCCCTAGTTTTCTAACTTGGAAGTTCTGGTCCCATTGATGGAGTCCCTAGCCCAGACCCTGAGTTCCTCCTCCAGGTCCTCCTCAGCAAAGTCGTCCTCACTCGCCGCCTCTTCTTTTCTCTGGCTGCGCATGGTGCTCTGGGTGCTCTAAGTAATAACCATCGTCATCATCACAGCAACATCAATGATAATAATTGACCATCAATGACAACGATGGCCACACGTATTGAGCATTTTCTAAGTGTTTTGCATAGATTTGTTCACCTAACACTCACCACAGCCCTATGAAGGGGGGACTGTTATCAGCCTCACTCGGCAGGTGAGGAATCTAAGGTACAGAGAGGTTAAGGAACTCCCAGAGCTTGGGAGCAGTGGTTTGGATCCAGTCGGCCTGGCTGGGGCCATACTTCCTCCGCTGCCTTTGGGGAGAATGATTCAGAAAGCCAAGAGACACCCTCTGTCCCCCTCGCCCCCACCCGCTGGGTGGCTGAACCTACCCTATTGGCAGGAGGCGGCTTCCAGTCTTAAGCTACTTGGTTAATACTCAGAAGACCATCCAGAGCCCTGGCTTCCCAAGTGCATTTCTGCAGAGTGCCTCTAGGGGGCGCGCGGGACACGTGGCGGCAGCACCGCTGGGCTCCCTGCTTTATTGACTCCTTTTCCAGGCAAGTCCATGTCAGACTCGCTGGCGGCGCCTCCTTCTCAGCGTCTCCTTTCAAACCCATGTTCTCAGACTTTGCTTTGTCACAAGT